CAACACGTCCTCTGACTGTCAACACAGTGAGATTTCTGAAAGACATAACTGTATCTTGATGAGCTACTGGTAAACTAAGGGAATTTTACAAAAATGTTTTAGATGAGTCATATTCTAAATATAGTCTTAATCATGTGCACGAAGTGCATGCCCATCCTCAATTCAGCTGCAAGCAAGAGTTTGTTTATCAATCGTGATTTAAAGAAACAGCATGTGCAACATGGAATTTAGGCCTACACTTAGAAACAAGGTAACCTGGAAATTCCAGAAATATATATGCTGTTTAAAGACTTTCACAGAATATATTAAGGAAAATGTAAGGAATATAAATTATATTATATATAATATATATATGCTGTCTCTTATACACATCTAGATGTGTATAAGAGACAGATATATACGTGCGAGCTCTTAAAGAAATCACGGGGGTTTTTTTTAGCTGACTACCTTCTAGGAATCCTCATGTTGTCATTGTCATAGTGCCACCAACACCAATTTCGACAAACTTACTTGCTTTCCGGAGGGGAGTGTATTTAAAGTTTACAGTTTATGAGAAAACCGTGCTCCTACTTGTAGGTAACGGTACGTCTGTAGCGATGTAGCCTCTGTGAGAAAACGTTTATGAGAGCTCCGGTTGTCGCTCCATGTAAGATACTTATGAACGCACCCTACACTTGATTGAATCCGAAATAAGATGGTCATCACTCATTACCTAGTCATCGTTCAAAAAAACACCTCACGTAGAATCACTAACCCCGTTAAGCACGCTTGCGATTCGTGAATGCGCATCACGTGATAGGCAGACGAAAGAACGGGTGAATGTTACCTATTACCTTTATGAAGCGACGATACCTTTAAAATCGATCACGCATAATCATGAGATATAGTGCTTGCTCAACGAGGAGTTATTCCTTCGAATACCAAATTTCCACTAACATTTGAATAATAATCATAATGAGCATGCAGTTATTCTTTAACTCGATGTTAGCCTCGATAAGTCGCTGTCGCGTTTGCTCCTAACCGCGGCTAAAAAAAACCCCCAAAGATTTAATTTACATATACCTATATTCTATATTCTTACGATGCCTGGTCCGTAATTAATCATTTTATTATTAGCTCTCTCATTATTTAAATTATATAGCTTGTATTGCTAGTAAAACGATATTCCTGTTGATGCCGTGAAAGCACGAATATTTGAAACATGTATTTGTTATTAGGTTTAACAATGTCTCAGCCTTATGTGGCTGTATTTTATTTGCCGTGACTGCTGACTTGTGACTTATAATGACAAACTAATGCAATGTCATGCCAAACCACAAACAACCTAAATACATTGAGATCTGTATCAAAAAATTAGATCATGATAACATATTATGTACATATGATAAGCCTACTAAATTAAACAGACACGTTGTAATAATACATAATATTAATAAGTTATTAATTAATAATATTAAATATATAATATAATAATATATAATAATAACGTTAATATAAAAAAATAATAATATTGCTAATGGAAATAATAAATTTGTTATACAATTAATTATTTTTAATTATTAAAAATATTGTTTGCTATCCAAATTATAGAGTAAGATATTCAAGGTAGTTATTCTCATCGTAGAAACAAGTCGCGAAAGCAGGAAGAAAATGTGGGTGTGGAGAATCGGTGAAATTAATGGTCTGAATAATCACTAGCGCCATCTACGTCAAATGGCTATCACCAAGTCCTGTATTTTGTCTTGTTAATGTCATGATGTTTCAGAAATTAGTTATGTTTCGTTTTGTTCATAGCAATTTTTTTTTTTCGATGCGTCACTTCGTGGTGCGAACGCGAGCTTCAATTGTGTAATACTATGATGTTTAATGTTCGATATTGCTTGATGGTCACATCATGCAAATTTACCATCAATAATACAACTACCCTAATGGTAAATAGGCCTATAATGATATTACGTAGCCATGGTTACACCATAGTGTCATGTTTTGTATCGGCTTTGGTGAAATCACTTCAGATATTTTAATAAGAATATGTTTACAAAAAGTTCACTGTATTGAATATAACACCATTAAGGTGTGTGTTTATATGTGCTTACCACTCACACATTCAACTACATTTGAATGTATACATACATTAATTTCTGCACATACTTAAATACAAAAATAGACAGAGTAATTACTATATATATATATATATATATATATATATATATAGGCCTATATATAATATATATATATGTGTATATGTATATGTGTATATAAAGGGTTACGCCCGAAAGATCTCGTCTATTTTCTTAATAAATTTTGAGGCAAATCTATTACCATCTCTACGAGTTTTATTGTGTATGTATATGTAGTATATATATATATATATGTATGTGTATATATATGTATATATGTATATATGTATATATACGTATATATATGTATATATATATGTATATATATACGTATATATATGTATATATATATATATGTATATATGTCTATATATATTTGTATATATGTATATGTATATATATATATATGTATATATGTATATATATGTATATATATATGTGTGTGTATATGTGTGTATATATGTATATATATATGTGTATATATATGTATATATATATTTATATATTATATATATATATTTTATATATTATATATATATATATATGATATATATATATGTGTGTGTGTGTGTGTGTGTGTGTGTTTACGTACGTTTACTTTTTAGCTATTGCTTATCTAATTTGTATCTCTACTGAGATCCAGTCACTGTTTCTTTCCCACAACATTGTTGTTTTTGCTACACCGTGATACGATCATTTGTTTGGGCACTGTTTCTATCGTTTACATTATGTATATATGTAGTATGTGTATGTATTTTAAAAATACAAAAATAGTTAATTTATGTTTTGTCAGTAATTCATATGTAATCAAATTATGTTTCTTGAATAATGGTCAAAAATAAATCAATCGAATGCAAGTTATGATTACAAACCTAGAGCGCTGCAGTTGAAGCTTTAATCCATCAAACCATGTCTTTTTTCGTATAGGCATAATGTGCTTAAACATAGCATATGTAGGATGGTGAAGTTGGACAAAAAGTTGTAAACTTTAGCAGGGGCGGATCCAGAGATGTCCAATAGGGGGGGGGGCCGAAATTTGGGCCGATCGAGACAACAATGTTCCAGGGGGTCCGAAATTTGTGTGTTCCAGACGCCCGAAAATAACATTTGAGGCGTTCTGGGCTATCATTTTTTTTTCTTTTACTTTCTTTTTTTCTTTCTTTTTTCTTTTTTAACCTCCCAAAAGGGGGGCCGGGGCCGGGCCGCCCCCCTAAATCCGCCCCTGTTTAGTAATGCACAACCTTAAGTTGACAAATAAAACTGTCGATACACCTCTGTACCTAATCGCCAATCAGTAGGCCACGACCTACATTAAATGTAATCGGTATGATCACATTATCATTAACATCGTCATAGTCTCGTCGTTATCGTCACATTTTTAATATAAAATTCTTAACATAATATAAGTTAGTATAAGTCATTTTCATAATTTCGCCCAGTCGCCATTTACATGCAAATCGTATTTGTTTATCACCAACGATCATCGTAGTATTTTTCGTTTAATTAATCATGCGTCACGAGGCCTACATATAACCTGTATGGGAAGATTTTGCTCACAATCGCGATATCCTCTTTTTTCCCGTTAACATTTTCTAACTGTTTATCTCTTTACGTAACAATCCATTATATAAAAAAAGTATCGCTTGGAGATTTTGTTTTATTGAAAGTCAGGCATCGGAGGGAAAACAGTTGATATGTTTAGGCCTACAACTGATTTTTCTAATACACAAACAAGA